ATATTTTTAATTGTTATGAAATTTAAACATTTTCACAGTCCACAAGTGCCTTCCAAGCAGGGAGTTTGTGATCCCTGATGTTTACGACACATAACAGCAGAGAAGCAAAGATTTGCCTTATGGCCTCATGTACTGTAATTAACTATTTCGCCCATATTTATTAATCCAAGGATGCCTGGGCCTCCATCACTGATTTTAGTTGTTCCATTGTTTCAACACAGCCGACAGTGAGAGCTGACATTGGCCAGAGCAGGAGCATATTTCCCTGAGGGGTTCAAATGCAATTTAACGTGTGAACTGGTGGCAGCTGGGCCAAAGAAAACTGATACAGCTGCAGCGCAAAGGTGTGTGAGATGTGATGAGTTCACACACAAACACATCTACATGGTTCAAATGTCTTAGCTACAACATGTTGATGTATTATTCAAAGTATGATGATGTAATGTTTGATTCATAAGTGAAGGTTTGTGGAGGGGAGCGATGACACTGACATGTAGCACCATGCACAGAATCAGACAAAATCTAAAAACATAAACATTTCAACTCTGCCCCTCATACATTTGTCATCTGTCAGTGAAACCGATTTCACATGCAAACAACATGTTGCATCGCTCTGGCCTGAGCTGAAAAAGCATATCACCACATCTTTAACATCTTCAACAAAACATACACACACACACACAGAGCAGTACACGTCTGTAATCACATCCTAATTATCTGGGCCTTGTTGTGAAACACACACAGTGCCTAAAGTCTACTGTGCAACATCCCATGTGGCGTCATTAAAGTCAAACAGTGTTCTATGTCCCTTTCTCTAAACCATCTCCATGTGCCATGTTGCAATTGGTCCATTCCTCGACTACTTGTTCAATTCAGTCTTTAATTTTTAACTGCTTTATATTTTCTATAGTATTTTTTACATCTGTCTCAGTCTCACAGTCAGTTATGTAATATATGTATGTATATGTATGTATACATTTTATATGTATTTTTATATGTACGGTATTTTATATTTTAAAATTTTTTCATTAGACTAATATTTTACCATTTAACAAAACAGAATTCATCAAAGGGAGTAAGACCTATATTTTGTGACAGCTGCATAAATGTTTGAAATATACATCACTTAAATACACATTTTATATTTTATAATCTATTTATACCATCTGGGACTGAGTTACACCTGGGGTGAACCTTGCAGCTGGACCAATCAACACAAACCTGAAAAATGAGTGAGTCTATGCTCTTACCCAGGAGAGTACATATCTGCAGGGAAGGAATGGTCTTTTTAGGTCTCAAGTCCTATTATTTTTATTTAAGCAAATCCAGAAACAGGTGCAGGGATTTAGAAAATGTAAAGATTTGAACACCTAATGGTTCATATCCTTAGCAAGAACTAGTAGCAGGACAGTGATCCAGTACAGGAAAGAGGAAAGTCAAACAAAATAAGAAAAATGTAGAGATTTAACAATTAACTGGTCTGATGATTGGAATTGAACCATTTTCACCATCTGCCCTGACAAATGACAAGGTTTGGAACCACAAACCTAATCCAACACCATCATCTACCTGAACCTGCCCAGTTGAAGAGGCTAATTCTGAAATAGCATTCCTGGAACTATTTTGAGTCATGCTATGCTATGTTAGCAGCCCGCTGATTGGACAATTAGAACAGTTTAATGTACATGATGATTTTTCTCATGGGAGACACCAGATTGCCCACATTCACAAGCCTTGTTAAGTGCACAGGAACCCATTTTTAATTTGTACCTCATTCTCTGTCTCCAAAGACTTTATTTGGGCAGTTGTTGAACTAAATCAAAAACCTGTGACTGAGTGCAGTTTGACAAAACCTTTTCTTTACAAGTTGTTGTAAGGGGGAAAACAGCACTGGAAAAACATTTTACTTTTTGTATATTGTATATAAAGAAAATTGGACTTGGCAAACGTTGGTAGTAGTAAGTCACATTTACCAAAATAATCAGAAAGTGAATTGGCCAAAAAAAATGTAACCAGTGCATTTCCAGCCTGTATTTGCCCAAAGAGACCCACATTATATGGTGTTTGTTGCAGGCTTATTTACATCACACACCACTGCAGCCTTATCACAGGTGGTATATTTAGAAGAAGAAAAAAAACAAGTTCTTATTAAAAAATGGTTTATGGTACTCCACTGTTTCTAGCACTTTCCAAACAACTTCAAAGATCAATTCAGAGTATTTCACTAGCTCCGGTGACCTTTAACAAAGGTTCAACCAGAGCGAAATGCTGAGAAAGGAGTCTTAAATCCTTCTAAAACCTAAATTAAAAACTCATACTCAAAGCCTTTTGCTGTTGTGGGCCTGAGGCGTTGGAAGATCTATTTCAAAAGCTAAGCCATTAGTGATTTTTTTTTAGTTCTTTCTTTCTCCGGTTCTCTTCTACCACCTTTAAATATATTGTATGGTGCTTTCACAATTCCTCAGTGGTGACTTTATGATATTTTTAACCACTTTACGATCGTCCTGCTTTTAACTTGTTGCCCTTTTGAGCATTTTGCAATTATTAACCAAAATTGCTTCATTAAGATTAATAGCAATAAATTAAAAGAGGCTCAGCTTAATTCAATATCAATAATTACCAATACCACCAGTCGGTAATGTGACTGTTGGGTGTTGTATAATTTTGGAACTAAAACCCTTAACTGCAGCTTGATTTGCACAACAGGATTTTCAGTGGTAAGAGTTTATTTTAAATATGCATTAGTGTGTACTATTATTTTGGTTGCCAGGGAACCTTTACTTTCACTGAATAGTTGCATTCGAGTGTAAAAATGTGTTGCTAAGTAACCCCTTAATGCAGATTTTGGCAGCAGTCAGCTGTGTTTTCAGCTGCTGGGTTACAACAGAAGAACCCTTTCACACTGTCACACTTGAATACACCTGCATCTGTTGGAGCCAAGCTTACACTTCTGTAACTCTTTTTTACCAGCTTGTGAGTCATTGCTTTTACATCTGTAACTAAAACAAGCATTAGCCCTGTTTCTTTATGTTTGTTTGTTGTTTTTTTTTTTTTGCCTTGTGATATTGGAAAATTTAATAAACCCAGTTTTACTATCATTCTAAAGTGGCTATTGAAAATAATAAAATGATTGTAGAATTTCTCTACATCTTGGGCTAACTGTATTCTAGATTCTGTGTTTGCCCGGCTCGGCTCCAGCTTTGTGTGCCTACCCCGTCCTGTCTTGTTTGTTACCTGGATCCATGGCCATCTGTCATTTTCCGCAGCGGTCCAGGCATTGACCAGTCCCTTCTTGTTGAGGCGTGCAAAGTACGGGTACCACTTCTGCAACCCAAAGAGAGCGCGGTGGGTGGAAGAGGCTGTTATCTGTTGGTTGGAGATTATCCCGCCCTCCATGCCCAGTGGTCCAGAGCATTCTGATTGAAAAGCAGAAAGAAGAGAAAAATATGAGCTTTCATATAGTCCCAATACTCACATGTGTGATATTCTCTGTACTGCATACAAATGTTCATACAAAGATAAAAGCCTTTTCATGTGTTTCACTGTAGTTTCCCTTGAATCAGAGAGTATTCTTCTTCATGTCTTTCCGTCAGTGACAAACACAACAAATCTCTCTATTTATATTACAACCAGAGAATGTGGAATATTTCTGTTGTCTCCCATTAGTTCAGCATAATTGTTGCTTTCAACTGTCATAGGAGAACAAAAGCTTTACTTAGAAGATAATCCAGTTGTCTCAATTAACAGAACATGTCCTACACAACTTACAAATGACAGCAGGGAGATGTATGTGGTTCACACTGTTTGTATCTTTGTCTAATGCAGATGTTGTGGAGTTATAAAGGAAAAGGAAAGTGAACTCCTTGTCATTGTGACACAGCACACCACTGCACACAACCAAATGTGACCTCTGCATTTAACCCATCAAAGTTCACAAAGTGAACAGTGGCAGTAAATGGCTGATGAAAATGTGTTAGCAGCTTGTGAATGTATCATTTACATAGTACACTATTACAAAGCGTCACATCACGTGCTGTAGTACTAGGAGCCCGGGGGTTGCCTATGGATTAGTGATTAAATTGCAGGACTGACAGTTTGATTCCAGCCTGTAGCAGGGCTGTGGTTTGTGTAGTTGACTGCTCCTGTGTGTTCAGTGTGTATCAGCGGAGTGTCTCAAGGGTTGATAAACATACAGAGTAATATCAATAATTAACAGAGCGGAATTACCTTGTCACAGCATGAGTATTTTTTTTTAAATACATCAATTTTGGTAGGTTTACATCTGGACCAGGTGGAGTGTATATTTTTATACTACAATATAAACAAAATGGCCCTGAGGAAAAGTACCATCACTGTGGACTGTGCCAAGACACTTAAACACTCAACTGTGGCTTTTTAATTTATGGCTAGATCACATGTGACTGTCATTCTTCAGAATCCCTTCAGTTTAAATCAAATGATGCACAAAAGTGGCAGATGCAATAAAAAGCATCTCTGCTGTGCATATAATCCACACCACACTTTCAAACTCATGAAACTGCTTTTCAATAAAAAACAAGGAGTTTATTTCCAAGAGAGTGGGTGATAAATAAATGTTGCTAGTAACTGTAGTTTAGAGAATTTTTAGAGATGTTTTAAACCAACTCTCCAAAAATGATCAACTTTTTTTTTCTTTTTTCTTTTTTTTTTTTTTAATCGAATGACTTTGATTCCTGTCAGACATAATGGCACATGCAGTGTAACAGGGAAACAGGTAGGGCCAAAATCCAGCACTTGAGAGACATGGATCAGTGGCAGGAAGTCTATTCATTGTAGTTCAAACTTAAAAACTGAAACTCACAGATGTCAAAGGATAAGAAGCAAAGATTTCCAAACTAAGAACAATCAACACAAACCAGGTACACTAAGCAATAACCCGGAAGGAAGCAGGGAGGTAGTGCACCACTTGACACAAGTGAAACTAATGAACAAGGAATCACAAGACACAGGTAAGTGTGACGACACAGAGTAACAAAGAAAAACAGATGGGCGGGCAAGGAGACAGACAGACCTGACTCAGTCTATATGGCCAGTAAATATGTATTTTTGTTTTAAGGATTATAAATCTATTTTAAAATGTAACAATAGAAGAGACAATGATCCTATAGTGATTGAATGTATCAAAAAGGAAAATAATAATAAGAATGTGAAACTGATGAAACTGTCTTCTAAAAGTTCATGTTCTTTTAGAAGAAAAACTTTTGGGGATGTAAATGTATGTGTTCATGTCAACCAGCACTGAGGGAAAGCCTTTGGTTATGGTCACCTGTTCCCGCTCCTGGCCGGCTTCTTGTCCATCTCCAGCTTCTTCGCTTGTTCGTGTTTCTTCTTCAGGTAGTTTCCATCTTCTCTGAAGGCCGCCAGCTGCATCCAGCAGGTCTGGATGCTGCAGCTGCCGGACACTCCGTGACATTTACACGCTCTCCTCATGGTACTTTTTACTGCCTGTGGGGGGAGAGAGGGAGTGGGGGAGAGAGAGAGAGAGAGAGAGAAGACTTCACTGTGCACATGTGTGTGTAAGAGTGTGTATGTTAGTATGTAGTCTAATAAATCACTTTCACTTCACTGGTTTTTCCTTCAGTGTGACTCAACCACATCCAGAATGATGATGAGAGTTGATGTAGGTGGTGACGGTGGTGGTCGCCTACTGCTGAGGCTGAAAGAAGCATGAAGATAAACAGCTTTTATCTCAGGATGTGGTAAAAACTGTTATAGCCAAAGGCCTTAGGGTGTGAAATTAGAAACGAAAAACGACACCTGCTGGTTTAGCACTGACCCCGGCTGCATTCAAATTCTTAGCTGTGGTGTACATTGTAATTTAGGGAGACAATAGATAACCCAGTCTATAATTGAGTGGCTCACTCTGCTGGACAGCAAATGGGAAATAAATGAGGAGGTTTGTCACTCAGCAAGATATTAAAACCAAAGTTTTTATCCTCAAAGCATGCAGTTTTAAAAACCATGTCACAGTGAAATAATTAAATGTTAATTATCTCAAAATAAGCTTCTCTAAATAGAAAAAACAAAAAGGATTTTTACTAACAGAATACATCAGTGGCTCATGTGGCTCTACACCAACATGCGGCTAGAAATATGATTGAAGCCACATTAGGTCAGGCTGCTGCGCACAACAAGTATAGAAAGCCTTAAATACCATGCTGGTGTTTTCCAATTTTAACATTTTCAAGTCAATGCCTATAGGTTGTCAACAAACAAAGCAAAGACATAATTTCATATGTTTGACTTTGCTGCAGCATAAAGGACCAAGAAAAAGCTGTTTTTCACCCATAACATCATCTACATTCTACATAACATTATGTGTTTTTGTGGCAGACCAGTTTTCCTATGCTGTATGAGAAGTTTCTGTTCTGGATAATAGGGCATTAATGACTTTGAAGAGTCGTCTATCATCATATTGACAATGGAGAAACAAGCAGTATCCAGTAATGAGATTAAAAAAAGTTTGATTTTAGACCAAAATTACATTTTTGATGACTTCTTTATAAATACACTGTATATTACAAAAATTGAATAAAATAACAATAAACCAAGTACAGCTCATTCAGTGTCAGTGAGAAATCAGTAAGTCATAAATCTCCTAGAGAAAATGTCCCCGTTTGATTGGTGAGTAAAATAGTTTTTTAAGGAAGAATGCCAGTGTTTGTTTTTTTTAATCCTATAAAACCCAAACCATTAAATAATTGACCGTAAATTCCAATTCTTTGAACTTCGACCCTTTACTGGTCAAATATATTTTTTCATATATGAGTTTGTTGAACAAACAAAAACATAATAAAACAAATTCCAAATTCCAAATATATAAAGTGCTACCATAATGCAGTAATGAGAAATCCACAAATAGAACTGGCTGGGTGGAAGTCTGAACATAATATATATATTTATATTATATATATTGTTTATTTATACATATATTATATATATTTATAATTATGTATTATTATATAATATGATACAGCGAGTTACATATCTAATTTTTTACTCTAAATCTACCAAATTATGTAATTTAAAAAATAAAAGACTGTATGTTGCTTGATGTTATATAAAATGAATGAAATACAATAAAATGACAATTGACTGATTCAGAGTGACAAGTATATATTATACATATTTATATTTATAATACATATATATTTATATTATATTTTTATATGTATAATATATATTTATATATAAATTATATCTTCTGTGGAACAGTGACACACGAATAGCACGAAAGGAAGTGACGTTCCCTCAGGTGCTGTGGGAACCGGCAGTAACACTGAACTCTCCGATGGGTTTTAATCGTTTTCACTCCATTATTTTGGGTTAACAGTCGTTCACATTAGTGCTGTTTGTGGCCGCGGGCTCTTGTTTTCATTAGAGAGGCTGTAAAGGCCTCATGACGTGCTGTCATCAGCGTAAGGATGGTGACAAAAATGAAAGAGAAGGTTTAGATCATATGTGTCCAACTCAGGGCCCGCGGTCCAAATGCGGCCCGCCAAGTCATTTTGCGTGGCCCACTGGAGCTTAAAAAAGTTAAATTACCTGCTTCCGTGCTGCTGAGTTTCTTAACTTGACAAAAATATATTTCACAGAGCAGTGAACAATATTTGATACTGAAACCTGTATTAATACACTATGACTGGTTGTGGTGTGTTGTACCAAATTGCTGAGTGAATGAGTTGATGGTTTGAATGCAGAGGACACATTTCAAATGTACAACGACGATAAAGGAGATTCCTCTTCCTCTTCCTCTTCCTCTTCCTCTTCCTCTTCCTCTTCCTCTTCCTCTTCCTCTTCCTCTTCCTCTTCCTCTTCCTCTTCCTCTTCCTCTTCCTCTTCCTCTTCCTCTTCCTCTTCCTCTTCCTCTTCCTCTTCCTCTTCCTCTTCTTCTTCTTCTTTGTCTTCTAATCACTTTTCTCTATCTAATTCTTCCCCTCTCTCTCCTCTCAGGCCAGTTGATTGAGCGAGTTCTGCTCTCCTCCATGTTGAACCCCAGTGAACAGTGGCAGACGTATCGTCACCACGGGCGGATTCTCAGCCTGGAATATCGTCTCCGCTTCCGTTGTGACTCCAACTACTACGGACCGTTCTGTAACAAGTTCTGCCGGTCCCGCGACGACTTCTTCGGCCATTTTAACTGTGACCACAGCGGCTCCAAGGTCTGCATGGACGGTTGGACCGGGCATGAGTGCAAAGATGGTGAGGGAGTGAATAATATTTCAAAATGTAAAAGACAAAAATGCCTTGATTGATTTCGATCTGGAATTTATTTTAATAGAATTTTTCTCTAAATTCCAATCTATTTGTAAGAACACCGTGTCCTGCTCAGATCATATTTATAACCAACAAAATAAATCACCAGTTTTTTTTTCTA